CTGTGGAATATGTTAAAAAAAGGAATTTGAAAGTTATTTTGTCATCTAGACGCATCCTTTCTCGATAGTTTATTTTTTAGTTCATTTTAATAGCTCTATTTTTTGGAGATATATTTGTTTTTGAATAAGACAATAACATTTTTTCGTAATTTTTACATTAAAGCCATGCGTTTGCTTTTGGTCCCAGTCTAAGCTAGATGATAAAGTTATTTTTAGATTCCTTTTTGTATTAACATATTCCACAGTGCGTTTCAAGCTTTCACCAAAATATCAACATTTTGTTTTCCCTCGTATAATTTACAGATGGAAACTTTCATTTTTAATTTAGAAAAAGATACTAAAAAGCCAAATAATTTAGCTACATAATGCTAAAAAAATCATCAAAATCGGCTCACTACAATACATACAAAAATATTTAAAAAAATCAATTATTAGAATTATCCTCTTCATTTTTTTAGAATATAAAGTAATACAGATTGTATTGAATTTAGTTAAACAATTTTAAGTTTTCCATTGGGTAACTAAATATTTTCTAATTTTACACATTTGAATCTACATCTATATGTGGTTTATTAATAATCTTTCATAACAATAATTTCTCAAAAAAACATATTAGTACGTATTGCCAAAATCACCTATTAACAAATTAAATCTCAATGGTCACGACGATATTGTTAATAATAAATATATCGTAATAGAAAATCTAACTTTCATTTTTTTCTACAAACTTTTTACAAGAAAATACGTATGTAAGATATAAAATATACAGAGTGGTTAAAAATACAAGTTGGCCTTATCGATTCTACAAGTTTGGTAAATCTGAAGTTTAGTATTTTCTTTGGAATGTGTTATTAATTTACTTAACCAGAAACCTGAACAATACAAAAACGTTTTTTATATATATTTTTCTTCGAATTAACTGAGATCAAATAATACATGGCAAATTTTGGCATTATTATTATAAATTCAGATTCTGGGTTTTCAATTTCAAATTTCAATGATTAGTATGTAATAAAATATTATATTCTGTCTGGTCTAAAGAAATGGTTTTTCAAAATTTAATTAAAAAATTTACAAAATTTATAGATTCAATATTACATCTAGCAACCTCTTGTATCCACCCTGGATGTGTGAACGTATACATCATTTTGTAGCTCAGTTTTTTTACGTATCTTGTTTACAATTTTTATCACTAAATTTATATTTTACTTCATCTAAATGTAAAACCTCCAATATACAAAAAATAAATTTTCCTCTACTATTCGATTGGATTATTGTTTTTTCTCCAGATTTCTGACATAATAAACAATGTTTCTGAACAATATCGAGTAAAAAATTCACAGTGTTTACCTTACGTATTTCGAGTAGTTCATATATCAACAATATCCTACATGGATAATTTTTTACAGTGGAAATTCGGCAAGTTTTGAGAATACACTTAACAGTTTATGTACAAACTTTTCAAATTTACAAAGAGAAAAGCTGGAAAACTCCAGCTATGAGATTCATTTAGTTTGCTTCTGTTTTAGTTAAAAGTTTTAAACAAGGTGTTTCCATTTTCGCGTATTTTACAGGGATTCCCATTCAGGAGTAAAAATACAAAGATGCAGTTTTCACATTACTATGTTATTTTTTATGAAACTAAAGATGTTACATACATATTTGTAATAACCCTCTTAGTTCCTGAAATATAGGGAAATTAGTGTTCGCAAATTTATTTATTCTTTTAAATGAGATACCCTGTATATTTTTTTTAATGTATTTGCCTTGTTATGAGATTTTTAAAAATACAATACACCTTTTTTTCAAACGTCACAAAAGTTTTAATTTTTACGACGTGACTGACAATATAATAAAGTAATTTTAACGCCTAGGCATAAAAGTACGAAAATATATTTTTAAACTGACACAAAGTGTCAAATTCAACGAGCGTAACCATAGTTTCTCGATACATAACTACTTACAAGGTATAACTTTTAAATCTTTTTATATTATTTGGAACGTTTAAAATTGTTTAAAAAATTATTTGACATTTGAAATAAAATAGCGTGTTCTATTCGGGGTAAAAATGACTTTTTGTGCCTCACCTGTAATGTCCGTCAAACGTACAGCATCGCCACAAAAAAATATCATTTTTACCCCTAATAAAATAATTTACTATTATACTTATTTTTATAGACAATTAAATAAAATAAAATAATACTCTTTTAAATTAGATTGATTAGTTACAATAGTTACGCCACTGTATTCTACATGAAAAACTGTACGAGACGCAGTGTTTTACCTTTGCAATTAGTTACGAAAATGGGACACCCTGTACACTTCAATTTATTCGGTACAACTAAAATTTACTGTAAATAAATATCCTCCAATCGAAAAGAAAAATGGGTGTCAAGTTGGCTTGGAAATGACGATCGATGTCATTCACCATATAATTTTACATACAAATGACAGTTATATTTTGCGATTGGATGTTAAGTGTCAAAATCAAATAACTTGCCGAACTAGTAACATTACTTTCTAACTTTGGCATGAAAGTGCATAATTTTAGTAATATCGTATATTCCATATCCTTTTTTTTTTTACTTCATATACCGGAATTATATATACAAAATTTTTGAACTGATTCGACGTCATTTTTTTTCCTCATAACCAAATATACATATACAATGAAAATATCTACACTTCCTTTTTTTAAGTAAATAACTCTACTTTTTAATTTTTCTTCGTAAAATATTTTACGAAAATTCTTCCCAAAAAAATCCAAATAGAATCAGCAAAATCATTTTCAAGTTTTAATTTTTTTACATACTTTTTTTTAATTACTTTTATATAGGATTCTATTTGAATTTTTGTTGATCCTGTGCAACATCACAAAATAACGTTGAAGGTACTCGCAAAGGAATCTCTAATAACCAACAAAATAAAAGAGAATGCAAAAATCCTATAAGTCTTTTTTCCCAAATTACCCGAAAAAAGATTAGGAGGGGAAGAAGAAATCTGTAGTACATAATATCACTATTTTACCAAAACCACAAAACTATAATCAGATCATCGAAAAACACAAACAATATTTTCTTTTTTCATAATTTTGGCCGGTCTGATTTTTTTTTTCTATTAAAACGAAATTTTTGTAAAAAATTCAATAATATTATTCTCAGCGGGAGGGGGCATTTTACTAAAAATTGCACATCGCACTGGCCTTTTACATAAAATAATTTTTGAGGGGTCTGGTCTAAATAATACTAACTAAAAATTATAAAATATTCGTTAGACATCAAAGTGGATCACTATTTTAGAAAGATTAAATCAAAATTGACTTCTAGTTTTTGTAAGTATCGTTATTATTAATACTTATATCAATAAATGCCTTTAAAATGCAAAAGAACGTTAGCTGTAGAATAACAATCATATAAATCATGTCAATTGCTTTCTTATTCTTGCTATTTTTAATTAAATTATTACATGCATAGGTATGTTTGTGAGTGGGTATTTACTCTGTGAGATTTACAGAGTAAGAATTTTACTCGGTAAGATTTACAGATTAAGTATATTACTCTGTAAGATTTACAGAGTAAGTATTTTACTCTGTAAGATTTAAACAGTAAGTATTTTACTCTGTAAGATTTATATATTAAATATTTTACTCTGTAAGATTTAAAGAGTAAGAATTTTACTCTGTAGGATTTATAGAATAAGTATTTTACTCTGTAAGATTTACACAGTATGTATTTTACTCTGTAAGATTTACATATTAAATATTTTACTCTATAAGATTTAATGAGTAAGAATTTTACTCTGTAAGATTTACAGAGTAAATATTTTACTCTGTAAGATTGACAGAGTAAGTATTTTACTCTGTAAGATTTACACAGTAAGTATTTTACTCTGTAAGATTTACATATTAAATATTTTACTCTGTAAGATTTAAAGAGTAAGAATTTTACTCTGTAAGATTTATAGAGTAAATATTTTACTCTGTAAGATTTACAGAGTAAGTATTTACTCTGTAAACATCTGTAAGTTCTGGAGTGTTCCAGAAATGAAATAGCCATCACAGTTCATCATTATAATTAAATTCCAACGATGATTTGGAATAAGTTTTTAGACTTTTACTAACATTCGTAGAAAAATAGTGCAGTATTTGGTTAAAAAGTATGTAAGAACTAAGTCTAAACATATTTCCTTCTAAAATTGAGTGATCCAATCTGACTAACATGAGTTAAAAAAATAATAAAGAAGTAAAAAATCACGCGGGTAATGTTAAAGATTATTTCCATCATTTCTCGATAATATAAAAAATCTATATAATATGTTTATCTACAAATATATAAATAATAAATAAAAAAAAACTATGTACGCGTTTTGGAACTAAATTATACACAGTAAAAAGAGGTCTATACGGTTACGTCTCTATGACTTTCCACAAAATAATAAAAATAATATATTTATCATAATATAATATTAACGAGTTTTAACAGCAAGCTTTAGCGTTTCTATGTCTCTTTGTGTGTCGTCTTGCTGTCAAAGCTCGATTATTCCCTGACAGATTCAAAACAATAAAAATTATATTATTAATAATAAAACAAACGAACAGTTCGACTACGGTACTTAGGGGAAGGAGGGAAGTTAAAAATAGGGGAGGGTAGATTGACCGGCAAAAAAACAGGCACCTAATAATTTTCTGTTAATTTGAAGTATTTTAAAAAATTTTAAAGCAATTTGTATCAAAATTATTTGACTTATTAACCTCTTAATACATTAAAAATTGAAATTTTCATGTCTATTATACCTGAGAAAACAGAATGTTGTGATGTGGTTGTGATACAACGCGCACTAAGGTGAGCTGATCGCTGCAACCAGTCAGCTGTACTAAAATATTTTTATTTTCTACCGCTTGTTGCCGCTTTTCTCCCAAATTAATAATTTTTCAGATGAAAACGCAAAATTTTCTATAAGATAAAGTGTTTTAGTGTAGTTTTTGCGCACGTGCAGAAAACCCAAAAAAAATAGTATACAGACTAGATCAAAGGGAAACTTAAATGATACCTGTTATTATAGCTTCCAGTTTCGATGGCAAAAAATAAAAAAGCATATTTAAAGTCTCTTTTTAATCTGCACTGTATAATCCTTTTTTTTTTCTTCCTCTACAATGCGCGAAAATTATACTAAGTACCTTACTGTAATTACCATTAATATTTTAAATGCATTATTTAATATTAGAACATTTAATAAGCTCATGGATAGGAACTTCGCTTTTTAGTTAACCCGGATATTTTAACATTTCTGAAAACAATATTTTCTAATTGGTAAAACGTAAAAAAATAATGATGTCCGTTTTTTTACCGGTCAGTGTAGATCTTTGTAGTGGGTTCATTACTAAAAAAAACTGTGTATTTCGCTGTATTTCGACTAAAACGAAATACCCAGCTGTTTCCTACAATAAAAGGACAACAGGATTAATCAGCTACCGTCTTCGAACCTGCTGAAATGCAATACATGACTACGTGGATTCATTAGGTACTCGGTTGGGCTCGTTGGACACGAAGGGTGGTGAGGGCTCTCATTGCGGCGAGCCCTGGGGACTGATGTCGTCCCCTCCCCCCTCCGAGCCAACTTCGCCCTTGGTCTTGTTCTCCTTTTTCCACTTCATCCGCCGGTTCTGGAACCAGATCTTGATCTGTCGCTCGGTGAGGCAGAGCGCGTGCGCGATCTCTATCCGCCGTCGCCGCGTCAGGTACCGGTTGAAGTGGAACTCCTTCTCCAGCTCGAGCGTTTGGTACCTCGTGTACGTCTGTCGGCCTCTTTTTCTTTCTGGAAAACGAAGAAAAACGGTTAGAAACAAAATTTACACTTTAAAAATGAGAAGAAGTTTAAAAAAATCTTCCTCATTTGTTTATTTTTTTTTGTAAAAATTTACATCCATAACGTAATTTCTTGGTGATAAAACTTGTAGTCAACTTGAATAAAACTTGTAGGAAACTTCGGCACCATATTCTGCAGATAAAAATAAGTAAAAAAGTTCGTATAAATGTATGTCCTAAAATGCTTAGTTTCGGAGATACAGGGTGTAGAAGTTTCTTTTTTATTTCGATTTTTTCCAAATAATTTCTGAAATAACGTCAATATTTGGATGAAAATTGGTATCACAAAGTTTTTTGCCATGAGAAATTTGATTTTGATATCAATATAACTTTTAGAGGGCGCCACCTACATATTTTTAACTGGTTTAAAGAGTATTAACTTTTCGTTCGTACCTGTATAAAACTACTGAGTAAAAAATATGCATTTAGGACGTTCATTATGTAAAAATAGTCTCTTGGTAAAAATCGCTACGAGGTTCTCGAGATATTTTACGGCAATAACTTGTTTAATTTAAATAGAACACCCTGTATATTTTACGTGAATCAGATGCACAATTTAATTGTCTATCAAAACGTATTACAGCATTTTTAACTATCTCTTCAAGTTTTTGTGGAAAATGCATTTTCTTATAATTTAGACCTCATTTATCAATATACCTATAAAATATTGACATTTATTTATGTATATTATAATTTTTAGCCTTTACAAATTCGGAAAATCCAATACAACAAAACAATAAATCACTTTCTATTCTCATTTCAATATTTATTTATATCAAACAGTTTAATATATCGACTAAATATCCTTTTCTATCAACGAAATGAAAACAGCAGGTTTATAATAGTTGTTATTTTTCCCAAACATCGATAGTAAACATGCCAATTAATGCTGAGAACTCTTTCAAATATACGCCCATATTTCATTATTTAAATCTAAACAAACAAATCAATGTAATTTAGGTAATAGAGTATAATAGAATACAGAGTGCCCCAACAATCTTTATTCCACATAACAAAAAAAATTAAACAAGTAACAGGTATTTAAGGTTCATCCTGAGTACAAAACTATAACGATAAACTATAACGATAAAAAACAGAAAATATAAGCCAAAAGGATATTTTTGTTATTAAAGTCATTAGGCAACCATTTTCTTTGCCTTAATGAAACGTCAAGAATGATTAATGATTGTATACCCCAACAAATCGAATAGTCGAAAGGTTCTCATGCAATGGCGGTTCAAAATTTAGCTAATGGTAGTACCTTAATGGGTATTTAGATTCTCTAAGTTGTTTCTATCACACTTCTGAGTGTTTAATATTAAATGCATAGTTTAATTTTGAAGAAAATGGTTATTTTAATCATACAATCAGCTTAAAGTATTAAAACTAATTAGTATAAATGCCTTTAAATGAAAATAATTCTAAATTTTTTACAGAGAAATATTTCAACTAGGCATATTGGTAAATTATTAGATGACAACTAACCTCTGTAAAATCGTCTCAGATACTGGCTTTTGTCAAAGCTCTGAGACTGTATGACGAGTTATAACTCAAGAAATGAAGACATACCCCCAAACATTCTACATTCTACAAAAAAGCATTGGATCATTAATAATTGCGTTATAAAAGAGTCATAGTATTCAATTTTCTCTAGGTTTAACAGAACAAACTTCTTTACCTATTAAGTTTGCACAGACATCCACAGAGTTATACATAGTATGTATATACGTTTAAGAATCTCACTTCTAGTGATATATAACCTATCAAGAAATATTAATACAGAAGGGGTGGAACCAATTTATCATGAAGCATTCTGTTTCTTTTCTCTATTTGATATTCGGCTTTGATCCCAGCCACTCATTAATCAGCTGACGTAGGAATGAATTTACGTGAATTTTGGCCTGGTGTAATTTAACTAATTATTTTGTCGACTGAAATAGGTACCAATGTTTTTGGCGCCAACATTATGCCACATTTTTTTATCGACCAAGACATAAAATATGTTCTGTCGTGGTGTTGGTCGTTATATATTTGGTCTGATTTTTTTTTTCTATTAAAACGCAATTTTTGTAAAAAATGTAATAATATTATTCTCAGCGGGGGGGGCATTTCACTAAAAATTGCACATCGCACTGGCCTTTTACATAAAATAATTTTTGAGGGGTCTGGTCTAAATAATACTAACTAAAAATTATAAAATATTCGTTAGGCATCAAATTGGATCACCTATTTTAGAAAGAGTAAAGCAAAATTGACTTCTAGTTATTGTAAGTATCGTTATTCTTAATATTTATATCAATAAATGCCTTTAAAATGCAAAAGAACGTTAGCTGTAGAACAACAATCATATAAATCATGGGATTTTTATTCTTGCTATTTTTAATTAAAATCGCATAGGTGTGTTTCTGAGTCAGTATTTACTCTGTAAGATTTACAGAGTAAGTATTTTATTCTGTAAGATTTACAGATTAAGCATTTTACTCTGTAAGATTTATAGAGTAAATATTTTTCTCTGTAAGATTTACAGAGTAAGTATTTACTCTGTAAACATCTGTAAGTTCTGGACTGTTCCAGACATAAAATAGTCATCACAATTCATCATTATAATTAAATTCCAACGATAATTTGTAATAAGTTTTTAGACTTTTCCTAACGTTCGTAGAAAAATAGTTGTAGTAATGGTTAGAAAGTATGTAAGAACAGACTAAACATATTTCCTTCTAAAATAAAGTGATCCAATCTTTCTGTTTCTTTTCTCTATTTGATATTCGGCTTTGATCCCAGCCACTCATTAAGTCTTTTTTTTCGGTAAAACTATCTTATATTATTATTTTTTAATTTTGTTTACTGCAAATTAGCTTTAGTTTTATTTTCAAGAAATGTAAAGAAAAAGTGATATAACTAAGGAATCTAAAATATGCAATTTTCTTTTAAATGTGTACATGAATTTGCAAAAGGTTTGATCACTGAAAGGGTTACTTATTTATTTACCAACTGATATTATCTCTTATACTCTAGATTTTAATTTCTCAATTTTTTTTAAGTTTTCATATTTTCTACCAACTTTGAACTAACATAGGAATATATATGTCATTGCATTTTTATACTGTATAGCCGAAAAACATACAAAATTACAGCGATCTTCATTTCCAAGTCATCTCCGACGCCATTTTTTCGTACGGTACAATAGAAATGAAAATTCCACAGTTTAGTTTTAATATACATTTATTATATTAATCTAAAATCAACTAAAATATTATTTTGTTTGTAGTAAAAAATATTTTTGTTGAAATGTAGAAAATATAAATACCCGATATTAATTATAACCTCCTAATTTGAACCGAGTCTTAACAAGCCAGTAATAATGGTAATTTAGACGGCTAGTTTTGTGTTTTTTACATCCAATTAGATGAAAGTGGGTCCCCAATTTAGGAAAATAAATTTGTCCTTTGAATTTCGGTCGAACGGAAACGTTCGGCTATGGTGGTGTATAATTAGAGGCGATATGAAGGCATGTAAGCCGTTATTTTTGGAATAAGTAACAGAAGGAAATTGAAGAGGACGGTGCGATATGTAACCTGTCATGTATGAGGTGTTATATTAGGCAAATGTATTTTAGGCGTATCTTACTTGTACACACATTATTTTTACCTATATCTACCCATATAACACACAATATCCGCAGGATATCCATAGAATGTCGGAATGTCCCACTACAGGATCATCCTATAAAGATATCTATAGGATATCCTCTAGACATCCTGAAATCCTGTAGATGTCTCAGAATAGAATATCCCATGGATATCTCTATCGTATATCTAATGTACATCCAGCTGAGATATCCAAACATGCTCATGATAATAAAATATGCTAACAATATGGTCTAGATATTTAGGAAAAATAAATAATTTACTACTTTTTATATTACATAAAATGCAATAAACCATACAGATAGATATACAGGGTTGTTCACCACATGCGACACGGAGTATTGTAGCTAAACGATGAGATTTTTCCAAATTGTAAGTTTGGGGTTCGTTGAAGGACTATTAGAGCTACAATTTAAAAATATTTTTACAAGATACAGAGTGTCCCAAATAAATAAAAAATATCAAAGTTGTATTTTTTTAAATGGAACACCCTGTATATTATTACATTTTTAGTTTCTACGATTAAAATAAAGGTAAATTTGATTAAGGTTTATTATACTTAAACCTTACCGTTTTTGAAATATTTTCAATTTTGTGTAATTGCAGTTAAAATTTTAAAGCCTCATTTCTCCAAGGGTATCAATGTTTTTAATACTAAATATTTAATGAAGTTTATTTATTGATCAGTTATTGTGTTGCAATAATAAAAATCATCTACCTCATTCAGAGTGTCTAAAAATTTATTTTAAATAATTATTAGCTTCAAACGGCAATAACTTCTTTAATTTAAATGGAATGCCCTGTATATTTTAGGAGAATCAGATGCACAATTAAATTGTCTATCAAATTGTATTATACCATTTTTTACCTATGCCTTCAAGTTTTCGTAGAAAATGCATTTTCTTATAATTTAGACCTCATTTATCAATATATCAATGGAATATTGACATTTTAGATTGTTTTTAAAGCAACAAATGTACAAAATGTACAGACTAGTAATATTATCGTTTTTAGCAAAACGATAATATTACTAGCCCATTTGTATGCAAAAAGAAAACTATTTAAATCTTTATAAAAGAGTATACCATTAATTAAATATAACACCATTATTTGCGCCCATATACTAATTAATTACATACTTAATTGTGTTCGTTATTAAATTATTATAAATAAATGTGGATTTGAGTCAGAAATCAATATAATAATAAGTTATCAAATTAAAGTCTCTGTAGTTATAAATAAGCATTTATTAAAAAATGAAATATCATTTTTAAGGTGTTACTTTTTATCACACTGTCTA